GTGACAATCAGACCACGACTCGGGTTTCCATTTTTAGGCAAAGGTCTTTTGCCTTTCATAAACATAATTTCTAGATTTTCCGCGCAAATAAATAACAACTGCAAATAATGCAGCATGGTTACTGACTCCACGGGACATCTTAGCAAACATTCTTGGATCCGTCCGTCACATTAATTCTACTGTTCTAAAATTCACCCTATGAATAGCTTACTGCAACCTCTAAAGAATATTACTACACAAATGACGGTACGTGTTTTGAATATTCAATATTTTCAATGTTGATAAAGTTTGTTTGATTAAGTGAGTTCGGCTCCAGACGACGTTGAAATTGTCAGACGAACGCTCTCTGGCACCACACTGTGAGAAAGATAATTTGTAAACCGAAGTGAATTTACATTTATGGGATTTTGATCGATTTTGACAGCTATATTCGAAACGGAAACGTCCAAGTGGAAAATACAATTACACCAGACAAAAGGAATTTGGCTAATACCTTTCGTTATGATCAACATTATCATCATTATAATAATAGTCATTTTTATCATGATTCAAATATGCTTGTTTATTGGCTAATTCTTGACGTCATCGTCCAACAATTTTTCATGTTTTCAAAATGACGTTATTTGTCATCCAACAATTTTTCATATCGCGCTCTGATCTCACAGAACGACCGTGTTTTTTGCAAATGTGAATATTTTCAATATCGCTTGAATGTATTCAAAAAATGGAGACTGTTATCTTCCTCGGTCTACCGCTTTACTTGCATAACAGTRACTATCATAATCAACTTCAAGGAATAATTGCTCATTATCTCCATTTATGTCACCGCCATGAATGTTTTATCTCTAGGCAAGTTCGACTGAATTAACCTAAATTCGCTTATTTACCAAATCATTTGTCATGCCTTGTTGTGCTAGCACACTAGAAAAGTTGGACGTCAAAAAGGGTTCCCAGACTTGCAAGAGTGGAACAAAGACGTCATAAAAAGGCGCGGCATTTCTAGGGTTCATTTCCCTATCTTAGCACATAACGCGCTTATTGTGACAATTAAAAAATATGCAGCCCACCACGACCGATAGTAATTAAAGAATGTTCAAGAAAATACTGAATTTTTCATGCGAATCTTCATGGCAAATTCCACCTATAGACGTCAATATTTACCTGGCTGTCTGTATTTTTGCACTCTTTTGTTATTTTGTAGTGTATAGTTTGTGTTACCAAGGACAAAAAAGGCAAAAATAAGCAAATAAAACAAGTAATGTCAACATTTTTTCGGATATTCAGTTACAATGTACACTGACCTCAGGCACTTAACCAAGATATTGTCATTGCAAACTACGAGAGATGAAAAACATTTTCTTCCTGATGGGTTGCCATACTGATAGACAAGGACCCCAACAGAGCACCAATTATGTTGAAAAGATAAACAAATTCCCTGTGGTTCGGAAAGAACAATTTTCTTGAATAAACCATTTTTGTCGAAAAAACATAAAATGAGATGAAAAGAGGGAGAAACGTTTCGTTCACACGAGTGCGTCATTGTTGGAATACTTTAATATTCAGAAACTGCACTATACAGTATATATCTTTACATTATATCTTTATTCTATCATTTCTCATTTTCCTCCAATAACATTTTCTCTGTGATAGCTGCGTTGTCCCTAACAACATCTTGAAAATCCACAAATCAGATACAGTATACGAAACAACTGTAGCTCGTGCTGCGCGCGCATCTGAAGCACACTTTTTCCTTTGAATGATAATTCTTAAAACAAAAAATTATCACCATTTTTCAGAAGCCCGATGGTGCTGTGTAAATGATAAAGAAATCGCGAAGTGTCAAGACTTGGCTCGTGTCGTCACAAAAGTACAGTCAAATCTGTCTATTTCTATGAACGTTACATGCGTCCGGGGATTTAATGTCACGCACTGCATGTCACGCATTTCACGCAACGAAGCAGACTTAGTCACGCTATCGGAAGAAGATATTTACAAAGCAGGTTTGGAGCCACAGCATATATCTTACGAGTATTTGTATTTCAATATGTTGACAACACAACACAACTAAGCAGAACACAACACAACAGAATACAACACAACTGAATACAACACAACACAACAAAACACACGATAACACAACAAAACACACGATAACAAAACAAAACACAAGCTAACAAAACACACCATAACACAAACAGAACACGCGATAGAACACAACAAGACACGACAGAACACAACACGTCACGTCTCAAAACATAACACAACAAAACACATCACGTCAAGTCACATCACAACACAACACATCATGTCACGTCACATCACATCACAGCATAACACAACAYACATCAAATCACATCACAACACATCACGTCACGCACGTCACGTCACAACGCATCACAGCACAACAAAAACGGGATCGCTAAAATATTAACCTAACAAGCCTGTAATATCAATATTCATTTTAGGTAAAGACTATAGTCTAGTCCCTGTAGTGGGCGAACAAAGTGGCCGTCAACCACAAACTAGCTATTACGCTGTGGCACTCACTCTCTCCCAAGCTAGTCCCAGTCTTTCTCTGAAATCGTTAAAAGGGGTCACTTCTTGTCATCCTCGTGCTGGAGATACCGCTGGCTGGAAAGTACCGATAGGTTTTCTGATAGAGAACAATCAAATGACTTGGAAGTCATGTAGTACATTTTTGTCTGCTGGGGCATTTTTTGAGAAGAGCTGTGTCCCAGGTAGGTAGACAAACAATGTACTGGAAACTCTGACAGTATCTCAGGCACCCCAACCATTTTGAAACACTCCATTTTTGAAACACTTCACTTTTGAAACATTTCAACCGCCATCTTGAAGGGTAAACCAGCCTTTGCTTCAAAACGAGACTGAGGAGTTGAGCATACAATGATAAATACCTGTGAATAATTACCTTGTGAATAAAAGATATCTATTACTGCTGGCCAAGTCAACCGCTGTCTCACTTTGATGCATATAKTCTCGGCAGTACCTTTCAAAATGGCACCTCAAACTTTAAAATGGAGTATTAGAGATATATATATTTGTTATATTCTGGTTTTATGATTATTACATAAATGACATCATCGTGACTCACGTGGTCATTRTYATCWWTYTATGACGTCATTTCTTGCAGGARCATTCAAACCAGAAAACAATCCTCTGAAAGAAAATCCCAGAAATCTCTGCGGTCTTTGCCTYAAGGAAGACTGCCCTCCAGGAAAGTCTGAAATGTATTATGGGAACCAAGGTTCCTACCTATGTCTCGTAAGAAAACGAGCGGACGTTATCTTCGTACGCCACACAACAGTATTTGAATTTACTGGGACCTTAAATGATTTAAACCCWGGRGACGATTTTCGCCTGCTGTGTCCTGATGGTACTAGAAAAGGTAAGGGAGTTAACCCTTCTTTTTACTATACCAAAACATATACTTGAGACTTTTGGGACAGTACACAATCTATGATGTATAAGGCGGACAAACGATTGTAAAGACAGAGAGAGATAAACATATTTTTCTAAAATAACTTGTTTTCTTTTCTTTTAATAATAGATGTTGGCGAGTACAAGTCCTGCAATCTAGCACGAATTCCCGCCAGTGTTGTAATGACAAGAGACGCTAGTAAAGAACAGTTCAGAGCCCGAGGATACAGATTACTTCTTTTAGAACTTGACAATTATCTCAAAAAGAACAAGCAAATATTTCATTTATTCAATTCAACACAATATGCTGGCGTAAATCTTCTCTTCCACGATTCTACGTTAAACTTCGCTGATGTTGGCGAGAGAAACACYACCGATCGGTGGTTAGGCAAGAGTTACAAGAGAGTTTTAGACGCACTGAATTCGTGCGATAAAAYCATCAAAGCAGCCCCAAGATCCAACAACGGACAAATCATTTATCTGCTATGGTCTTGTCACGTGTTAGCTGCTGYTGTTGTAGTAATAAGTCARTTGGAATTTCTATGGTGAACAGTTTTTAGGAATTTTACAATTACGCTGARCCAATCAATAAACCTTTAAGGTTTCACGTGGTTCTGGATGGACCTATCAATGAGCTTGAATGGTCATATCAYATGGTACGTRCTGCCTGGACCAATCAATAGACTTTAACAGGTCACGTGGCACTGGATGAACCAATCAATAAGCCTGTTTAGCTTATCATCATCCCGTCGAGTGGTCAGTGTAGATGGACCAATCATTGACCTTGTTTTATATACCATAACCGGATCTATCAACAATTTTTTTAAAACAGCCCAGAATTTAGTGGATTCAGACAATTTAAGAATTATATTTAGATAGCTTTAAGAAATAAGCTTGCTCACTAAGTCAACTATTCAAATATAAATTTCTAATGCGAACCCGAACAATACATAAARATATAACAAACGGAAAATCAGGCACTTATCCATGTGGGATAAAACATGGAGAACRTTTGGCGCATGCGTTATAGCTAAAAAGACAGTCTTGAGATGCAATGTCAGAAATATTACTAGCGCAGGCACTAGGATAAAATGGAGGAGCTTTGGAGCACTCCACGAATACTTTGTTTTCAAACACTTACGCCTGTTATTATTGAAAGCGGCCGTAAATCACAGAATAGTACGAGCTCATCTCCTTACCAAGTGCATATCAGTTACACCGAGGTGATGTGAGTACGAGAAGGCTTACAAGACTGTCCATACTAGAGCGGATTTCGTATGACTGTACAAAAAACACGGTACTTTAGCGCTGTGACCGTACCATGACGTAGCGGTGATATATTGTTCTGTATTTTTATTTGGAATCCTAGAAGGCGAGGTTCCGTGACCGTGCCGTGCCTTGCCGTGTTGTGATCCGTGCCGTTGCACAGTCATACGAAATCCGCTCTATAATATAGGTCTGTCATTTATCCATGACACAAGCTCGGAATGAAATTCTACTGAATAAACATCGTATTAATCTTCYATTCTTTTCTGCTTTTTTTATCCACTTTTTTCGTGCTTTTTTGCCATAATTTCTTATTTTTATACTCTTAATAACCACGTTTCAGTAGTATTTTCTATCATTTATACATACTTAATAGTTAATCAATTATAATTTATAGAGTACAAACACTAAAAGCGTGCAGCACTTTATACACTATTTACTACAAACGCTAATTAAACAATAGAAAACAATAGAATTAGCATAATTTAGCAGTATTTAGTGGTAATTATGCTGCACAGTTTTAGTGTTTGTACTCTATTAGTAAGTTGATATCAGACTTTCTATCTAAAAAATCTATTACAACTGAGCGTCTTTGTCAGCGCAGTACATAGTTTCAGCGGTCTTCAGTATTGGGTTCCCTGTGTCGYTATGTTTATATTTGTCGCATGTTAGTAAACAATGGCAGTCACTATGATGTGCGCCTTTCGCACGAACGAACAAATCTAAATAACCAAGCAACTCAGCGACAGAAACAGCTTGAAAAACTACCGTTGTCAATTAGGTAAGTGTTGTGTTAATGGGATGAAACATCCGATAGTTAACAGTTAATAGACTTGACAATGTACATTGTGATACATCTAATGATATAATGATAGTGCTATAGTGCATATTGCTGGATACAGTTTTAGTTTTTTTCAAAGATCATTTAATTAYATATCATTTTGCATAGAGAAGGCAATGATTGTCCATAATAACTGAAAAATTGGATTAGTGTTTGAACRGTTTTACTGCTAGTTACTAAGCCAGGAATCAACGCAACKCATGCAAACTCGCAATTTTGATTCAATACCTCGAACTACTTTAACACAAGCAATAATTTACTGAGAATTATTGATAATGTGATTATGAAGTACTTTGGACTACAGTCATGCATGGCCAGACATATAAAGTTTAAAAACTTCATGCCRTCACGATAATCTAAATGTTATAAGGTGAACCAATAAACTTTAAAAGCTTTACRATTAATAGTTTTTCCATATATTTAGGATAAAGCGAGTATAGATACATTTTGAATTGCATGTTTTGTTTATTGTCTATTTGCAGTCTGCCCTCGTTGTTTGTGTCAGACTGACGTTCAAAATTGCTGAAATTGTACAATTGTTTGGTCTTTACTCTGGCCGAAAATACTATTCTATAATCTATTGAAATGTTTTGAGCTTTATTTTTTGAGGAACTAAATCTTAATAACCGCAAAATGAGAATCGTTTGATATTAATTGAAAATTGTATATGTTAACAACAGAGGAATTTCGACATGCTTTAGTTAAGAAGTTATTAATTTGTAACTGATTAAACTACAAAGTTAGGTGAACAAGGATAAAGAGATGAGGAACGCATGTTGTTTTTAAGATTTAAGTTTGTTTTTATGGTRAAGCGAGCTTGTTTTGTTTTCAAAAGATTACCATCGAAACGGTAAATATACGCAGAACCCTTGCCGTTCGTAAGAAAGACTTTCCAACTAGGGGGCAAAATAATTGCACGCAGCTTTGGTTTTACATGGAGAGGGACTTCTGTCAGACCATAACTTGCACATTCTACCGCAAATAAATAAAACAAAAAAACATTTAAACACAATACAAAACAACACATTACAAAACAAAAGCAGAAACAAAGAATTAAAGGAAAAAAAAAACAAAAAAAAAAACAAGGCATAGAAAAGCGAAACAAAAACGACAGGGAAAACACAAAAACTATGAAACACTTGAAAAAAACAACTCAAATGAAAAAGACACAAGAAAATGAGCTTCGAACTTGCATCGTGCATGTTTTTGAAAGGCTCAACCAAAAATTGTCAGGTGATTTCCCAAATATTTGGTTTTACATTTGTTGTAATACAAAATCTGCCAAAAGTCATCAGTAATTTTGATAAAAAATATGATTAAAAGATTTCCTTCCAATCCTTATTTGGTTTGACAACAAAAGTACTTGAGATTTACTATGGMGAGYACACTGAAGATCTACGTATCTTTTGGCAAAATTGACGACTAGTTTTGACAGCTGAAGAACGTCGAAACATCCACTGGTTTCCACGCAACGGAAAAGAAAATTAACGCAGTCTTATTTGACGTTTTTGTACACTATTTACTTAATATTCTCTTAATATCACTGACAACAYAGATTCTTTTATATAGTTATACAAATCCGCATAGTTTTTCTATGGCTTTGTGTTCGTGGAGCTATTCCTTCGATATTGAGCTCACAATTATCCGTTAAAAATATTGCCGAGCGTAATTAAGTAGTATAAAAGAGACAGTGAGATGTAATTATGAAGAGATAAAGCAAACCCAACAAAGAAGAGATTAACATAACTAAACAAGAACAGTACTTTAAGCCTGAAATGTCATGACACGCAGAAAGCAATGTCGTGAAATTTACTGAGCTGTTCAAACGAATCTCACTCGAGGATTATTGGAGTCAGTTTCAAATGGTACTAGTTTCGACTTGAAAAACACGAGGGTAACACTAAACATCTCTTCGCTTAAGAGATTACTTTTGACCTGTGTAATTGTTTTATTCTGCAGGTGTCAAAATTGGTACTTTGACAGCCACATTGCAAGCGAATGTACACTTGATACAATGAAAAAGAGATTATAGAAGCTACATTCAAAAACAAATACGAAAATACCAAGATAAAAATGGAAACCAAAGCTACGGAAGAAGGTTTTCAAATCTTTATATCTCTACCTACGGACGATGTTTGCACTTTGAAAGGATTGAGCGAAGACACGAGAATTTACCAACTCAAATCTCGAGTTGAACTCAAAACTGGTATCCCAGGAGATGTTCAACATCTGTACTTCATGAACAAAGAATTGTACGACAACTACAAACTCGAGGACGTTAAGCTCAAAGCTGGCTGCATCGTGAGAGTCAAGCTCGAGCCAACATGGATGAATCTCTTTGAAGCTTGCTGGCGAGGTGACATCTACGAAGTGTTTCAAAATGGAGTGCAATATCTAAACGAGAAGGAATTCCAAGGTTATAACATCCCATTGTGGAATAGAATAGTCGTACAACGAGCTACAAATGCTCTTTTTATCGCTGCTCATAGAGGMTTTTTAGGATTAATCATTGAGCTTTTGAATCATGGCGCCGCCGATATTAATGGTAAAACACGGTTTGGAAGAACTTGTCTTCACGTTGCTGCATATCAAGGGTTTGTAGGTTGTGTYTCTCTTCTACTTTCTGAAGGAGCTCTCTGTAACCAAATTGACTATAATGGGAAAACTGCCCTTGCTCTTGCCAGCRAAAATGGYCATATCTACTGCGAGAGAAGGCTTTGGCTTTATCAAATGAGTTTGAAAGCTCTTGGGGGACTGTCACGAAACTCAAGTGAAGGTTCTCCAGCAGGAAGAACTGAATCTGCTGACAGCTT